TGTAATGTGATAATCAAATAAAAAGAAATGCTAAGCATTTACGTCGGCATTACGACGGGGGGATGCAAACTTCAATATTTTCAATGGATACATAGAAGAATTTTAAATGCTCTCAGAATTAAGTTTTACCCAGGTTCGCCGATCCATGTTTAATACGATAATATCTGTTTCCATATGCTCTGCTGTTGGTACAGTGAATTATGTTCCCTTTGTATGCCAAAATAACATAACTGCCACTAAAATACTACTTCAATCATCAACATAATTAGCAGGTTCAGCTGACTGCATCTATAAACAACTCGAATCGTTATAGCATAGACTCGAAGTTTGAAAGTTTTTCAAAAATTACGAAAGCGCTCATAGCGCTTTGTGGGGACGATAAACACCAGTAGGTGGCAGAAACAGGACCGTAATGAAAACAAAAAAAGCTGATATCGAGTTCTCTGCTTCAACTCAAGTTGCCTATACTTCCATGTCTCCCCTATTGTTTGTTTGTATTGTTGTGGTGGAGCTGACCAACAATTTATTGCATTTTTCATCATATTAATTAAGGTTATTCAATTCATTGCAATTTAGCATACAATGTGCTTTGTCATTTAAAGTGTTTACTGTTGCTGCTGCAGATCCCAGTCACAGGTTATGTACAAGAAGGCCAATAAGTTGATACCTGCAAAGTTCCTCACTTTGCTTGCCCACCTTGCAATTGCTGTAGCAGTAGTATGGAGCAACAAGGAGAGTGCCAGAGCCTGTTTACCAGAGCTCCACAGCGAACAGCTTTTGAAAAGCCAGAGTTTGCAGTAAGTAGCTATAACCAATTCGGCTTTAACTAAACAGTTTCAAACTTATATCAGTTTTGTTGTATGTTGTGGGCGCTTAGATTTTATTGTTTATTCTTGCAGGTTGACTCTATACATGAGCCTCACCATTGGCCTAATCATATTTGAACTCATAGTTTTTCTAATTGGATTAACAATATTTAATTCTGCATCTGCTTTATTTTGTATCCTTGCTAATTTTCATTTTGTCTTTCCATATGTGTGTGATTCTTTCAGATATTTTCATTTATTCATATTTTACTTAACTAACACATGAAGCTATTGGATGCCATGGATGTGCCTGTTTGGTTCTTGGGTTTTTGATTTTCGATGGCTGGACATGCAGCTGGTATTGGATCCTATTCAGCTTCTGCTCATTGCCCCCCATACTGTGTGATATTGCCACAGTTGCAGACATAATTATCAATAAGAAATACTAATCAATTCAAGATTAATTTGAATTTTGATTGAAATCTTTTTTCCTATTGCAATTATTAATTTGTGGTATGTTTTTCCGCGAAATTGTAATTACGTGTTAGCTCATTGCTGTTTCTTCATTATCAATACAAGCATGTGATAGGATGTTAATAATCTGCTTTTACGAAATCACGGGGAAATTAAATTAGATTTTGATAAAGGATTAATTGAATTTTGCTTTTTCTCCCCATTTATTTTCTCTCTGCTCTCCTCGTCCCTTACATTTTTTTTCCTTTAATTAACCCCGCAGTAATTGAAAAACGATAAGGATGCATTTAATAAGCGGCATGCCATTTGGACGATGATCGTTCTTCAGTTTAAGCACGCGCCGGTAATACTTGGATCGCCGTCAAAGATGTTCGGTGCCGATAAGGTAACGAATGATTTTCTTAGAAGCACTTTACTAATTGTATAACTCTAACCTTGAGTTTTTGTACATTTCCCATTATTGTTTATGAAAATGGTGTGTGTAAGTGTCTAATGTTTACATGCTCATTGTACTAATACTTGCAATTGATTGTTTGTTTGCAGCCTGTAAATATTGGCTGGACCAGATTGCTGATACTGGCTGGCATCTCGACGACGATCGGATCTTCTCTGACCGTTGGTTATAACATAGGAGTTGTTAATTCGCCGGCTGGAGTAAGTAATATTGTATTCAATAAGGCGCCGCCGATGCTAACAATTTGGGAATTGCAGTTGATCAAAGCTTTCTGCAATGAATCGTTCTACGAAAGGTTTGGTTTGGTCTTGGGGGTCGCCCAATTGGACGTTTTATGGTCGGCGATCGTTTCGATCTTCCTGGTAGGTGGAGCAGCTGGTTCCTTGAGCGGATCCTGGCTTGCTGATAGAGTAGGCAGAAAGGGCGCTATTGTAACCAGCACCGTACTTGCCGTCGTCTCAAGCATCCTTTTCGTCACTTCGAAGTCTCTTAATTCGGTGGAGATGTTGATCTTGGGTCGCCTGTTGGTCGGAATGTCTTCAGGTAGTTGCGACCGATAGAAATATATAATTATCACCATTTACAATAATGTATGCGATGTATTTAAGGGTTGGCGACGTGCGTTGTGCCAATGTATTTGATGGAATTGGCTCCGCTGAAGTTGAGGGGTGCCGTGGGCGTCTTGTGTCCTTTGGGCGTCACTTTTGGCGTGCTCGTGGGACAAGTCATGTCTCTTTCACAAGTACTAGGTGAGTTGTTAATTGATGCACTCTTCGCTATATACTAATTTTATTGTCGTGTGCATTTGTAGGTAAGGAGGACACTTGGCCAGTACTTCTTGGTTTCTATCTTGTGTTTGTTGGGTTGAGCTCTGTCGCATTACCCTTTCTGCCGGAAAGCCCTAAATACTTGTACATAGTTAAAGGGGAAACGCAACTAGCGATCAGACAGCTAGAGAAGATCAGGGGCGTGGAACAACAATCATTGGTTGCGGACATGCAGGAGTTGCAGGCGGAGCAGAGTTGCGAAACCAAAGTGTGGAATCTGAAAACAGTGTTAGGGGATAAGAATCTCTTGCTGCCCATTTTACTCGTGTGCAGCATGCAAGCTGGTCAACAGTTTGTTGGCATCAACGCAGTGAGTTCCATCCTTCAATTATTATTCAATATTTCATCATCTAACCCCATATTTGCCATAGGTATTTTATTATTCGGTTTCGATATTCATGAGCGCCGGGCTGAGTGAGCAGAACAGCCAATACGCGACAATCGGTGCAGGGGTGATAAACCTGGCGATGGCGGTGATATCGATACCGGTGATGTCTCGCGTGGATCGTCGTCTTGTCTTCCAGATTAGCAGTTCATCTGCGGCAGTCTGCCTCTTCATACTGGGCATTGCGATCTCTTACATCGTACGTTATAAAACTGCATTCTTTCAACAATTCTTCATATTTACTCTTTTTAGGATACCATCTCATGGATGCCTTATTTAAGTATCGTTGGGGTGCTCGGATTCGTATTTTGCTATGGGATCGGTCTTGGACCCATACCGTACTTTATCGGTTCGGAACTATTTGAGGTCGGGCCCAGACCGAGCGCAATGGCGCTGGGCTCGATGGCCAATTGGGCAGGCAACTTCATCATCGGCATGACCTTCCCAACCATGCAAATGCTAATCGGAGCTAATTCTTTCTTTATATTTGCAATCGTTGCCGTTTTGCTGTTCGTATTCATTCGGTACGCATCTATATTATAATTCGATTCGTACCAGATTTTATTTATAAATTTATTTTAGAATGTATCTGCCAGAAACACGCGGCTGCGATCCGATAGTTATTGCGCATTACTGTAGGAATGGACTATCGCTCTCAGTCCAAACGCCCATGTCGCCGGTCAACACATTGAACACGGACGAGACTACCACTGCTGGCTCGAACGAATACAAATAGACTTATATACCTCTTGCAGTTTTATTTTAATAAAGTTTATAACTGCTATTTGCTTCTTTATCTTCTACTTAATCCTCGTATTAATATATTTCTTTACTATTATCTTGATTAAATTTTTCGTACAATAAATTAGATTAGTTAGTAGACGTTCCAAAGTGAGTTTTACACGTTGGTTGTGTCAGGTTCGAAGCCCAGATTCGCGATACCCTCAGGAACACGATTTCTGCGACCACCGCCTTCCTCGGTAGTACTGCCAAGGTTCTCGAAGTGCTGCTGAAATCCGCCCTTGGCAACAATGGTGGTTCTGCGCGCGTCCATCGTTGTCATTTTATGGATCGCCTTTTTCTCTTCCTTCGTTAGATTCATTCTTTTGCCATCATCCAGGTTCATCCTAACATGAGTCATTCGACGCACGATGATCTCCTCCATGTTAATTACTCCAGGCTTTCCCTTCTTCTGATTGGCTGTTGCATTGACAACGGTCTTCCTGCGACCTGCAGGCTCGTACGATTCATCCTCGTCTGTTCCGTTTCGTATCTTTTTTATCATATCTGGTATGTCAACTTCCTCCTTCGCAAACGACTGCAAATCAAATTGATTATTATAGTTAGTATAATTATCGGTCGATATATTTACTATTTTCGTATTGGCTAAAATCTGGCAGAAGGTGCTGAAACGATGAAATAGCATTGCAATGAATTGAACGACCAGCAGGATAGCGAAGAACACAAGGAAGACAAGACCTATAGGCTCAAGCTGCAGGTATTGCTTGACCATGATGACCTCGTTATTCTCGAAATATGTGAAGTTGGTCTTGATGTCAAAGGGCCACTTGATGTGGAGCAATTCCTTCTTGAGGGTGAGCAAGAAGACGACTAGCACGAAAAGGGCGTTCAACATGAAGAACGCGCTTACCGACATATCGCGCAAATTCCTCAGATTCTGCTCCACCTCTTCAGATCTGTTGTCTTCTGGCTTGAGATATCTCTCTAACAACTTCTTCCAGAAGACTTTCTCTGCTTGTGGGATCATGCCTGTCTGACATTTGTCCAGCACTTCATCATCAATCCAATTCTCGTCATCCATCTCCATAGCCAGACTCTCTGTGTCGTCAACGTATACTTTGGCCTTTGTCACCACTCCCTCAATCCCTATCGAAGAGAAATAATTAGATAATGCCTAACGGCCCTGTAATCGTATTCACCATGCATGATGTCTACTGTTTGAGTTTTTCTCTCCTCCGGACCTGGATTCGCAGGGATGCCTTTGGATATCCGGTCCAGTCTCTCTGAAATCTCCATCATCGTCTTCTGAATCTCCAACAGGCTGGCCTTCTCCCTGCTCAGGAATAACTTTGTCCACCACTTCATGAATACGTTCGGCTTGTTCTTTTTTTCAGCAGCCTCCAGTTCCTTCTCTACTCGTTTTTTCTCTTCTTTTGCTCTCTTCTCCTCCTCCGTCATGGGTTCCTCATCCTAAAAACCGTACAGAAAAAGTCAACAAATGTATGCATATTAAGTTATTTGATGCAAACCTCCGGTTTCTTCGACGGAACTAATGTGATCTCCCTGGTTCCCCAAGATACGTTGTTCATGTTAAAGATGGTATAGATGACGAGAAGCATGTACATGCTCGGTACGGTGACGTAATAGATGATGCCGTAGGGCAAGCAATTAACCTCTTTAGGATGCAACAGACCGGTGACGATCATTTCGCCGGCGACACAGAAGAAGAAAAGAGAAGAAGGAGCGAGCGGTCCGTCGTTGGCAATTTGCAGCATCACACCGACCAATACGGCCATCATAACCAAACCGTAAATCGCACTAATGACGGCGGCAAAGAAAAGTTGCACTTTGTCCTTTTCAAAGATCTTGCAGATAAGCATAAAGAAGAGGATTGGAACCACGTTCCACAGGAAACTGGTCCATTGGTCCATCTGGAAGGCCGCCACGAAGGCACCGACCAACATAAGGAAAATGGTGCCGGGCCCAAGAATGGTGCCAACCATCAGAATCACTTGGTAGGCAATGTAGAGGCGCGAGATGTTGGGGTTCTCCTTGACCACGTTACGGTAATCAGTGAGCAGCTCCATGATGTTAGCAGTTGTCGAGGGCATCCAGCGTCTGCGTTGCGTATAAAACTCATTGAAGGATTCTGGACAGTGGGTGAAAGCATCCGAGGCTGCCGAGTATTCTACGCGGTAACCACGCTGCAGTAGAAGTGTGCACAACCACCTGTCCTCTCCCTGATCGTACTGCACGTAGTGGCGAGCCTCCGTCGACGTTGTAGTGTACTTCTTCATTACGTTATAGTCCATCAGAGCACTACCTCGGAAGAGTGAAAAGCAGCCGGGGCTGCAAAGGACGCAGCCAATCATGTGTTCCGTGGCTTTCTGCAGCCAATGGCCAACGGCGTACTCGAACATCTGGTACCAAACCATCGGACCGGAGCCGATGGGATGAATGCGACCACAAGCCGCTCCTACCGCCGCGTTACGTTTCATTAGGTCGACGAGCAACAGGACGGCCTGCGGCTGGAAGTCGATGTCACCGTCAAGCGCCAGGATGAATGTGTTGCGAGATCTTAAGTCGCGTAGCACAGTCGACATCTTGTTGTTCTCCATCAGACTGCATATTATATGTTACACATGTTATACAATTTTCATAAATGAGACTTACTTGTAACCTAATAGGTAGTACATGTACATAACCTGGGACCACCGCTTCTTCGCACGAATCTTAGCCTTGTCTTTCAGGTGAGCGATAAGCTTGTTCTGGCCAGGCAACGTCCAAACGAGCCGACCACCGTACGGCGTCGGATACTTCATGGGAGGATATAACTTCAGACCTGACCCGTGAATTTTCTCCACCGACTCATCCACGCATTTGATCAGGGTCTTCACGTGCTCATTCAGATAGGGCAGCTGTTGCTTGTCATCTTTGTATCGGAAGAAGGCGTCGTCGAAGAAGATGTGCGCTGTAATAGAAGAATTATTATTGGTGTTTCATATTGTTTACACTACTCACTTTCTATTTCATAGTAGTCATCGACGGTGGCGTTCATGTAGCTTCTGGCCACGCGGCGAGCACACTGGTCGATGTCCATGCGCATCACTGACTTAAGGAATTCAAGCATCTCCTCTCTGGTCTCATGCCACATAGTACCGCACGCGTAGATGATGGGTGTTCTGGCATTCACAATTTCCTGATCACCTAGTGCAGTTGCGTACTCCTCACGAAGGTTGTCCTCATCGCGTATGCTTCGGTCACTCCTGCGCCTATTCATCGCTACATCTTGGTCGACTAATACAGCGTCGTACATGGGCCGCACGAACAGTCGCTCGGTGCGTGCCTGTCGCTCACATTTCGTGGTCCAGGTATGTGCCGTCACCCAGGCCTGCGACAGCAGCCAGATTAACCAAATCCAAGCATGCTGAGAGCCGAGGAAATCTTTCAAGAAATAGATGGGCGGGACGTTGAAGAACAGGTAGTAAGGGATGACGCTGGCGAAGGCGCACTCATCACGCACGAACGCCCCGCTTACTGCGATCAATGCCGAGATTGTCACCGGCATCACCAGATTTAAGGGGAAGGCGAAGCTGAAGTCTTGTATCATCACCTTGCACGCAAACTTGCCTATCACGTACACGGCGTAAGTGCAACACACATTGATAAGCCACACCCAGACGGGAACCAGGTGGTCAGCGATGATGGTCGTCCCTTTGCTTGTAGATATTAACTCGGGTATATTCGGCGTGTTCGCCGATGAGATTATCGGTGCGATCTGTGCGAAAAATAGTTAAACCAGGAAGACGACACATGCAATACTAACCTCGTTGATGTAGATACCATGATCCTGGAAGGCGTTGCGGAAGTCGTCGAAGAGGAAGGACATTTCGCCTTCCCTGCCGTAGATGATGAGCAGCATACTGAGAAAGTATACGACACTTTTCCAGATGGACACGAAAATGTACGTGAAGTATTTATCATTGGTGAACTCGTAGCTAGCGGCAAGTTTTCTAATTGCTTGGAAAGGTGCATCCTCGGTAATGTAATTCTCCCAGTAACCGAAGGAGATGAGTATCACAGCGACGGGGATCAACCAAAGCGCGCGGTTATCCTCTAACATAGGCCAAACTACGAAAGCGCTTGCCTGCGCCGTCAGACTGAGAACATCCATTGTGAGTATCATTATGTTGGACGGACATTTACGTTTTCTGCAGAAAAATCCTGTGCTCACGAAAAAAATAAATAAATGCAGAATTGTGATTGGTGCTACTTATTACACATACCGACGGCGGCGGGGACGAAGCAGACGGCGTTGGTAAGCATCGCTCCTTTTATAACGTCCATCTCAGGAAGCACGTGGAAGACAAGGATAGCCGTACCGATAGTAGGCAATGTCTCCGTTAGAAGTGTCAGCATGAACCCACTAAGTGTGGGTAGCTTCAATCCTTTGAAAAGACACATGCGACAAGACCGGAGCAAGGTACCTGCCTGCGGCACCAGGTAAGCAAAGAACAACAACCATATCCAAGCAGTCCGTTCGATCCTAGGAAGAGTCACCACGAACTGCTTATTCCTGCCTTTATCTCTGTTGCAATACGGCCGCGTCGTACTCGACAGTTGCGAGGTCATGAAGAGCAGGCTGCCCTTCGAGATCACTGCTGCCGCGAGGATGAGCGCAAATGTTATCACGTATACCACAAGCTTGGTCCATACCTCCAGTCGCGGAAAGAACTGCGACTGTGCCGTTGACCCGGAATCCTCCTTCTTCTCTAAATCTTTAAACGAGTCCCATTGTTCCGTGTGCTGCTCCGGTTTCCTTGAAACAAACATAACAATACTATTATTATTTTGGAACTTTAAGAATTAAAGATAACCCTTTCGAATAAGTCAGATGTGGCTCACTAAACTATCTGAACGATAAACGTTGTCCAAGTATATAAGACATGTAGAAAGAACAACAATTAGTACTCGCTTATCACGTATATAATTTTAGCTGAATCACAGACAAAATATCATCTGATTACTCACTTGTTGCCGAAGAGCGGTTCCTCTTCCTGCACTTGCACCCGTCTCTTGCTCATTTCTAATAAACTAAAGTAAATTTATTCATAGCCCAAACAAGTCACCAATCAAACGAACGATAAGATTATTGGAATCGGGGATTAAGTTATTAGAGACAATCAAGGTGGCACTTAAAAAAACACGAAAACAAAGACATGCGATGATCTTATTTCTCTATTCACTTGTTTACTTTGTTGGTCAGTTTTTAAGTAAAGGGTTCCTCTCGTTGTGTTATTGTCTCGCACAAAACCGAATCTAGCACTAGTATTTTTCTCTCATTTTTCGGTCTTCAACTGCGCCTTCCTGCAATCGAATCGATAAGATTGTGATTAGATAAGACAATTGCCACAATTTAATTGATTTAACTGAACAGCCGTGTTTCCTTACATTATCAGGAGCTGATGAAACATACCTTACGTACATACATAGATTGCAGTGACGGATTACACGGAAAATGTTGATTAATATCTGAATCTACTATTTGGGTCTCTACTAGGAAACAATATATTTTCAACAAGTTAATTTACTTACATTCATTAAATATAATTTATAAATATTTGTACATTCTGCAAGTGAATAACTACAAATACAATATTCATGTAACATACAGATTTGTAATTACTAAGAAACTTTACTCAAATGCAAGTCTACTTGCATAATAATTGAATTATGAAATTCCAGGTTCCTCAAGATCTTATTCTTTTCTTGCTTATTGTGATATTTAATTATTTAAAAAATACGCTTTTGTTATATTGCTGATCAGTACGTATAATTCGTATGAATCATTTTTGGTTTGGCCATCATTTGTAACTAATATCTAAGCATTTTGACTTTCTTTTCCCGCTTTTTTATGAAGAAAAATATTTCGGTTTCAATTAGTCTTTAGGATCGTATTATGTTTAACAAACCGAGATTGATATACCTTGTAAATTAACCGTCGAGCGCTGTTTTTTAAATGTAAAATAACTATTTGTGGGATTAAAATGGGATTATTTATCTATTAAAATTGTTCCTATTGAAATTAGATAATTCCCATGTGTGAGAATCTACTTGACATCAACAGTTGAGATTTCTAAAAATGTCTATAAACCAAATTTTATCTTTTATGCATTTATTACATGCAATTGTCTAATCCAGCGTTTCCCAAACTGTGGGTCGTGACCCGATTGAAAAATATTATATGTAGTCAAAATCGGAAATAACTGAATCAATGACAAGGTGGGTCGCTATAGATTGGGTTTCTAAAAAAGTGGGTATCAATGTTTAAAAGTTTGGGAACCACATTTACACTGAAATTAAGCTGTATACGTTGCGATTGGCGTAATCCAGGACGCAGTTAAATGGAAAAGGTGGAAAGAGGCTCTTCCTATGCTTCCTAGAGGGAAGAAAAAAGAAGAAGCTGTATACGGAAATGTTCATCCGATCGTACATTATTTGAAGTACGTTATGTGAATGTTCAAAGGACGAACACTGCAAGCTCAGCTAACAGGATGCAATTTAATTTCAGGTGGATCGTGATAATGTTTTTATACAATAGGTACACTTAAGATATAAAATGTTGATTTCGTATCGAAACACAATATTAAAATTTCGTCTGTAAATTTGGTTGCTCACTACGAAGGGGCATCTCTTACGAATGGGCGAGAACTGATTGGATATGTCAAAGTTTTCTGATAGCCTTCAAAATATTTATTTTAACCTAGTTTTGTGTGTCCATGTTATTAGATCGTATTAGCTTAATTTAGGACCGAGGAGAAATGGCCGGAAAGATTAGCAATAACTCGGCTGTGCTCGATGTGGTCACAGAGAACGCCGATTTGACCTCTATTCTCAAAGAAAACAATACCAAAGAAACCATGGACCATTCTAGCCTCAGCAGCATACCATCTACAGTAGACAACTCATTAGTAATAATACCTATACAATGATAAGACAATTGGAAATTAATTGTGATGTGGTTCCTTCCAGGTACAATCACCAAGCATAGAGAGCTTCTCAACAATGCAGGATATTGAGAATTTATCTGAACTAAATATGGATGAAAATTCAGATCTGTGCATCAAAATTGATAATCCACAGAAACACTGGGACACATTGGAGACTTATATCACATTCAGGATTACCACCAAGGTTGCTAGAATTGAATTCAAAGAGAATGAGTATATTGTACGTAGGAGGTACAATGATTTCCTGTGGCTCAGGCATAAACTGTTGGACGCGCATCCATTCTGCATCATACCTGTATGTAGTAGTATTATAATTGATGTAGGTACTAATAAATCGGTTACTTATTTTCAGCCGTTACCGGCGAAGCATAGTCTGATAGGTCAATTGGACCGCTATTCCAAAGACTTCATACTAGTCAGAATGAAAGCCTTAAATGTGTTCATTTCGCGAATAGTACAACACCCGATACTGAGCTGCAATGAGAACTTTAAGTTGTTCATCACGGCCAAGCACCCTGTGAGTTTGTGGCAGCTGATTGGGTTGTGTGTTGCTGACTGTTTGGTTGTATGTTTCGTTAGGATTTCAATCTACTTCGGAGGCAACGCACGAGCAACGAGAATCGACCTCACCAGAATCCGCCCAATGTGCCGCATTCGGTGCTGAAGAATAAACACCTCGAGTTCGACAGAATAAAGACGTACCTGACGCTGCTTACAGAGAAGATCAACTCGGTGGAGAAGATCTCCAGCCGCATCAACAAGGAGCGCGTTGAGTTAGCCTCGGAACTGCAGTACTTTTATCCCATCTTCATCACCTGGTCAGCCACGGAACCGGAGCTGGCGAAGTTGTTGCAGAGCACGGCTTCGGCAATCGAGAAAACGATGGTCGCACAGAACGGTGTAGTAGCCAATTACCAGGCGACTGTCGCAACTCCGATCAAGGACTTCACCGCATACGTGGAAGTCGTCCAGGAGGCGCTGCAAAAACGCGAATCTTATCAGGCCGTCTACGAGCACTCGTTGGATGAGCTCAACAAGAAGCGTACGGAAAAGGAGAAGCTGGTCGCTGTAGCATCCGCGAATCCGACCAACAATGTTGGAAGTGGTTTCTCCCTCTGGAAACAACCCAGTTGCGACGAGAAGCTCGAGAAATTGGGTGAGTTATAGCCTATCCTATCCTACTTGCAAGAACTAATTAATCATACGTATCTGATATATCCGCAGGTAATTGCATTCCGCAGCTGGTTAAGAAGGTGGAATTGAACCAGGATAATCTGGAGTGTGCCAACGAGCAGCTGCGAAGCGACGTTGAACGTTGGCAGGATGAAAAGCAACAGATGCTGAAGAAGATACTACTAGAATTCGCGAACAAACAGGTGGAGTACTACGAGAAAAGCGTCTCTGCTTGGGAGTCGGTCAAGGACAGAATGGTATCGACGGCACCTCCGCCGCTCCAGCGACAGCAAAAGGCCGCCTCAGGTTCCACCAATTGATCATCACGACGATGATGATCCACCCATCCGTCTACACACTCTACAGACATTCCGCGCCGCGATCAAAAACATTTACCTGCAACAAAAAAATAAATCCATATTAATATTATATATTCTATGTTTAGATCTTTTTGAAGAAAATCTATAAAATATATGTTATGTTGTAAATAAATTTCTATGTAAAAAAAATAAACAACTGACTGCATGTGTGAATTTCATGGTCTTTTGGTTGCCTACGGCTAAATAATACCTAATTATTTTTAAGAAAATACACAATATGGATTAGATTAGGGGTTCACAATGCTCGTGGGCAGCAAGGCGCTCGTCGACCAATTTGTTTGTGCCTGCCGCTCTTCTACCATGAAACAAAAGCTTGCATTACTGGTATTAGAATTTTTCAAGAGTACAAAAATGCTGGAAACCCCCGGATTAGATTGGGATATTGTAGAGAAAATATAAATTCATTTTTTTTTGTAACAAAAATTTTATATACTTTTCGCCTGAACACGTTTACATTAAAATATAATTAAAAGAAACTTACTCTAAGAAACTACTAAATCATGGCTCAGACGTTCACAGGCGAAGCAGTAAGGGGAATCCCCGGCGACGCTGAAGGATTCTAAAGATTTTTCGTATCTTTCCACAGGCGTCATAGAGTATTGAGGTGAACGTGTGGAGACCCAGTGAGAGAAGCTCGTCGACTCGGCAGACGTCAGCTCCTCGTTACGGTTCTCCTGCGGTCCACGACACAAAACGCATCTGGGATTGTCCTCGAGGCTCTTCTCCATGGCCAACTTATCACCAGTCCTAACTATTGTAGTTATCGTTGCCGGAAAATTGTTCTGCAATCCTCCAACGAAATTCTTCATGAGACTCTGCACACTGCTGTAGATATTTTCCAGTTTCTCTTTCTTTGCCACCACTTCCAAGCGGTTAAAGTGATTGTACATAGCTAACTCTTTAATTTCAAAATGCCTGAGCGGTCTCACAATCTTTACATCTTCATCGCGATTGTCGCATATGCCCTGTTAAACATTATCTTGTCTGTTAAATGTTATTTGACAATAATAGATATTTACCACATCCAGTGCAAGGTGAATGCCACGACCCAAAGAAACGTTGGTCAACAGTTGTGAGGCTATATCGATGCCCAATTCAGGCGTGAAGACCACTTTACATCCTAGATGTTTTGCAGCCTCAATGAGAATTGTTTTTCTGCAATACACGTAAATTAATAAATATAATAAACTTTGTAAATCAAATACACATACTTGTAGATTTTAAGTATATCCCTTTTGTTAGTTGTATTGGCTTTGGAATTGAGTACTTGATTTAAGTTTTCTTTATCATTGTCCCCAATAGAAAGTTTAGATATATCATCAACCAGACACTCTGCAACTTTATTATTTTTCTTCACACAATCACAAAGGGAAATGTAGTGCAAGGGAAACTTGTACTCTTCAACCTGTTTTCTGATAAACTCAGCAGCATCACTTCGTTCTTCTGAGCTTAGATCAATTTTGTCTATAATTAATAAATATAAATTAAATCAAGTCACACATGTATTAATAAACAATTACCTTCAATGTAAATGACAATTGGTTCAAATCTCAACTTCTTTGGTGTTGACAAGTCCAGGCCAGATCTCAGGAAATGTAACAGGGAAGTGCTTGGATGTCCCTCAGTGTGATACACCAACACTTTATCATTTGGGTAGACGAATCTATGTTTACCCAAAAACGCTTTAAACTTGTGCGTGGTTCCAGAAAGGAAACAAGCTTGACAATAGGCATCTTTACCCCTTAAAACTATACACGGTGTTGACGCTCGGCACTTGTTGCATTTGTTGTCGTCCCTGGCAACATGAAATGTGTATTAGACAATTGTTAACCACGTACTACAAAATACTTACAATTTGAACTTTGGAACTGGTTCCATGTACTTGGACGTCTTCTCCTCCAAATTATCATCGCCAACGCTACACATCTTGATACAGATCAATTGTCCAGCATGAAAATCAACATAAATAAGATTTATTTAAGGTTATGTTCAAATAGTGAGACACGTATATTTGGTTGCATAACTTTATCGCGTATGCAATCAGATGCACGAAACAAGACTATACAGATTTTATGACACAAATATTACAATGTGTGTATTACATTTACTCTTCAGATTAATTATAAAAAAAATGTCGTTTATTTTCGTGTAAATTAGTGTAAAGTACGGTAAAAAATCCTATACCTAACAATAACAATTAAAATATACAATCGCTTATGGTTAATAAGAGTATGAAATTGTACGAACAGATATGAGATTCTCTTTTTGGACGGAATTCGTTTAAGTCTTAAAATTAGAGATTCTTAGCTTATCTTAGAAATACAAAGTAAAGCATCGTGAAGATGATCTGCAGGTTAGAAAACCTGCTGAGTTGCGGTACCGAACTAGTTTGGTAACCGAATTTGAACACTTGTATGTTGTTTTCGGACTCGAACCATGGATTCGAGCCGTCGTCGAAGTGCATCGGACATTGATCACCTTAATAGAAAGAAAATATATTAATAAATATGCAGTGTAATGAGATAGAATAGTTACGTTCTCGTTCGTATTCTTGCATTTCGATGGCTACGGCAGCGCCTTCCGTGAAGTTCCAAGAAGTCACATCTTGATTCAGGTCGCAGTAAGGACCCACGGCTAATTAAAAATATAAAGAGATTAATTATCATCGAGTTCAAGATTAAATATGTGTTATTACCTTGAGACATGAGGACTTTATTAAGGTCAGCTCTTTGGTAGACCCAACATCTGTATTTGGAGAAGGGATCAAGTTCATCGAAGGTGATCATGTAAGATTTAAGGTTTTCTTTCCAGAAGCCGATGCATTTCATCTTGTAATCGGGATCGCTGTAGATGTCAACAGGTCTACCCAGATGGTCGACGGAGAGGCAGTAATTCTCGTCGATAGCGACTTCTTTCTGATCGGTATCGCATACGGAGTAATCCGAAATGTTCTGCTTGCAATATGTGTTGGGGCGGGGGCTCAGTGTAACACCACCCAAGATGCGCGTCTCAAACGGAACCTCTCCCTTCTGTGTAAAATTGAATTTACCTGCTACCGGACATTTAATCGCCACCGGGTTCTTGGATAGAAACAGATCATACTGCCAACGCTCCTTGTTGGGGAATCGTACCCACGAGCATACGGTGTGGAAGTCGTCCTTGATAACGGCTACCCCTTTCCTATATCTAATTACGTTGTGGTGTTGCGGCACGAAATCAAAGCAGATGTAATCCTTCTGGCAACCGTCCACCGTTAATCGTGTCATCATTATCCTGGTGTCACGCTGTTCCCGGCACACGTAAATGGTACGTCTGTATCTGCCTTCGTCAGGATACCAAGTCTCGATGATGTGCGTCTCATTGATAAATATATCAGCATCGATGTTAGCCGTGTTGATCCATTCGCCGGTGAAATTTTGAGGAAGTCTGCATCCCGGCTCAACCACTTCCGACTTAACCGGAGTAATCCTCAGCCTTTCCGGACTGTCTTCCACAGTCTTTAACGGATTGCATTCAGGCGTTATGGACACTCCCAGGTAGAGATCGTCATCACGATTCTTCAAGAAGCATCTGTACTTTTCATCTTTACGCGATTCCCTCGTGTTAGCCACAGCGAAGAAGTGGTTTTTGCCCACAAACCAATCTCCTAAGCAACTGTATTCCACAACTAAAACGAAATATAAATTAATACATCGATACTTCGCTATACTTACTACAATTGGTTCGTTATACGGCTTTTCGCTTTACATAAAGTACGAGTTTATAGCATTATAATAACTCAATGACTCACCTCCATCAAAAGTTCCCGTCATTTGCTCGCAGCGTCTGTAGGTAATATTAAATTTCTGATTAGTGATCAAAAACTGAGATCCTGCAGTCTGACACGATCTGATCCGCGCGTCCGGGTTTCTGCACTCGCCCGTAAACTTGAATCGATTTTGATAAGCAAAATTCCAAACACCTTCTAACGAAGATCTGCAATTCACAGGCACGTAATTCTCTGAGAAAAGCGTGATCAGCTGTTGGTCCAATTTTAAATTTTTGCAAACATAATCCACTGTAACTGCTTGACCTGGTGGCACTGTATTACAAGGAGCTATAAGCAAAATAAATTAGATATTTTCATGTAATGCATTATGACAAATATAATTTACTCTCAATTTTTTCCAGGACATTCACAGTGCGGATTAAGAATTTCATGCAGGTATAGCAGTTGTCCCTTTTAAAGACTATTGTGTAATTAACTTTGCCATCCTCTTTGTAGGTAACACAAGTGCCTCTTCCTGAAATATCCTTTGCAGTGATCTCAGTCTGGGTTTGTCTTCCATTTTCCCATGAGAACCATTGGCCCTGGATAACAATGGGAATATGACAACCTGCACAAGAAAAATCAATAGTGAAAATGATACAAACAATCAGTTTGCTGTAATTTACATTTCTAAATTTACTTAGTTAATTAGCTTAAATGATTGATGCTCACCTTGGACAAGGCACAAGAAAATTGCACTGAATATTAGTTTGATAATCATTTTCTTTAATATCAATGCATTAGGAAAATACCACACCTATAGGCACGCCTTCTCGGAAAAATATAAACAGAATAATGAATGAAACCTAACTAACAAGTGGATGCGTCATTAGCAACAGGTAATTGAATACCAACATCAAAGAAAAATAATAATATTTATACAGGCAACCAAATTTACGCGTATTTTGAAAATTTTAGTTATAAATATAATTTTCCCTTTTCTTCGTTAATACAATATTTCTAAATATTTCTTGATAATTACTTTCTCAATAATGGTTTGAATTTAGCTAATGGGAAGTTAATTAGATTATAAAGGTAATTAAAATATGTTTTTTGTATTGTTTTATTATTAATAATTCTACAGCTTAACTGCTAATAAATTTGTTTTCGTCATGTAAGTAGGCACTTTTCGCAAAAATTGTATAACGAGTAACAGTTGATTAACTTGCATCGACTATGATCTATAAGTAATATTGCAACTTGATGATTCTCCTCTCAACAATGATATAAATACGCTACAGTAACAATGATATCTATCTAGATGCAAGCAGTAGGCGCTGGTTATCACAGAGTGTTCATTTGTAAAAGGCTTTTTGTTTTGTTTTCACTTATTGCTAGGTCTGTCCTTCCATCCTTAAATATTATGTAAATAAATGAATGCGGAATTGAAGCGCGGATTTCTAGACTCGTTGAATCTCGACTAACCTTTCCGATTAGATATTTTCAAATTGTGCTTGAGGCGGTGCGTGACTTTGGATTTCAAAGCCTTCAGTTTGGATTTCAATGAAAACTGTGATGTGTTTCCGTTGGAGACGCTCTCAGATGTCTGGTTCTTAGACGCTTCAATTTTTTGATCGTCCTTATTTTTTGTTGTTATCTGTTCACTTTTGCCCAATCCAGTGTTAATGCGTTTATCTACCTTAGGTGCTACTTTATCCAGGACGATTTGCTCTACTTTAACAGCAGCAGGTGGCGCTTTCTCGATTTTTGCTTTTGGCATACCAGATTTGATGCATTCAGCTAATAGGGCCTCATCGAATTCTCCAGATTCATCATGTAAATCTTCATTCCGTTGATGATTTTTATCTTCGGACACAGGGCATGTTTTTTCGTTCTTTGCTTTAGGCATTCCCGATTTAATGCATTCTGCCAATAGGGCTTCATCAATTTCCTCAGATAGATCTAAATCGTCGTCGTCCCGCAAAACTATTTTGTCTTCAACTTCAGCTGTATTTTGAATATTTCCATTAGGCATCCTGTGTCGAGTCCGTAACGATTCTTCTAATACTTTAGATGATTCAGGACCATTGTTCAGAAGTTTCGGTTCCCGCTTACTTTTGGGCATTCCAGATTTGATGCATTCGGCTAACAAGGCTTCATCGAATTCTCCTGAAGAATCCAGGACATTTTCTTCAATTAATTTAGATTCTCTATTCTCTGTCGGAATGCAATCTTCTTCGTATGTTAAACTAAGTTTCTGCAATTTTTGGATTACACTTCCACCATCGAAGTGTTTATCGTTATTTACATGGATTTTCACATTACCTTTCGCCTTCGGCATTCCAGATTTTATACATTCTGCCAGAAGGGCTTCATCGAATTCACCGGATGAATTGAACTCATCTTCTTCGAGGAAATTTGTTACTTCCATTTTCGGTTTCGGCATCCCCGACTTGATACATTCATCCAATAAGGTTCCATCGAATTCTGCAGATAAATCGAATTCATCGTCGGTTTCGTTCATACCTCTACAGAATTCTTCATATCTCGTTTGTACCGTGTCTTGCACTAACGGCTGCATACAGTTTTTGGATTTTTGCGCATTTTTCGCCTTTGCCATTCCAGACTGGATGCATTGGGCCAATAAATCGTCGTCGTATTCGCTGGAAATATCTAATTCGTCGCATTCCTCGATCGAATTCAATTCGATCGCTCGATTTTCCAACGAAAGTAAACCTCCTTCGCGTTTCGCACTGGGCATTCCAGATTTAGTGCGTTCATCCAGAAAATCATTATCATCATCGAATTCGTGACGTGACTGCTTAGTTTGGGAAGTTGTTGGTGGTAATAGGTTGTCATTGTTTCTAATTTTGGTATGCTTCATAGGAGATTTCATCATCTGCTTCTTCCTCATACCCATTTGTATGCACTTTTGAATCATATCGTCTTCTTCGTGCGACAAATCATCAACAGGTTTCTTCGTTGCGCTTCCTTTCGTTTGCCTTTGCATACCGAGGCGTATGCAGTTGGCTAGCAAAGCTTCTTCTTCATTCTCCGAAAAGTCCTCCTTCTCATGACCTTCAGCAATAGATTGTAACCGCCCTGACGTCATTTCCAAACGCTATAAATAAAATATTTATTTAAAAAAAATATAAGTTCGATTGAAAAGGATAATATAATACCTCAGGTTCCATTCTCACGTTGCTGGGTTCGGGTCGTCTTTTGGGCATACCGGAATTGATGCATTGTTCCAAAAGTGCTTGCTCACCTTCTATGGAACCGAAAGAGTCGTTGCTCAGCGGCGACAAAGGGCCTGATTTACTGGGGCTGGATTCACCATCTCCAAGGGTTCTCACCAAACCCACGATGCTTCCATCCACCGTCAGATCGCTTAAGCTGGAGCGCAAGGAATACGGGCATGGACTGTTCTCCACGCCGAAATAAGTCATCTCGTCCTTGCATTCGGTGGATTGGAACTTCTTGTCTCCGCTGTAGTCATTGCTCCGATACTCCACCTTTTTCGATGCGCTATTCTCGTTGCCTCGATAATCCACCTTCTGTGGTGCCTTTGGCTTGGGCATTCCTGATTTTATGCATTGCGCCAAGAGCTTATTACTTTCCTCGTCATCGTCCGAGGAGAGGTCGGAGAGGAAATCACCACTTGATTTGTTGTCGGTCTTCATGGACAAAACGCTCAAATCCGATTGTGATCCGGCGTGGCTTAGAACGGCTGGAGTATCCTCCGTGTAATAGTTTCTCGTATTATCCGAGTAGACGGGCACAGGCTTTGATGATACTTTCGACTGTCTGTACATGCTGAATTGTATACCGCCGCATTCATCATCCTCGTCTTCGGAAAATAGCTTTTCCGTGCTCTCTTTGATGGATTGCAGATTGAAGCTTTCCTAAATGTGAGTGAAATTAATTATGATAATATATAAAGAAATTACAATATTCCGCACCTTGAAATCATTTCCTAAAGCTTGCTCGTCTGGATCATCAATGGTCAAATCGCTAATACTGGTGGCGGTTGAGAACTGGAGCGGAGTAGATTCCTCTTTGAACTTGGTCACATTATCCTCGAATACGCTATTCTTTTGTAAAGAAGACCTTCCGGATTCCGCGAAGATATTCCTCGAGGTGGACGCGTAATCAACAAAGTTGTTATTGTTGTTTCTGAAGTGCTTCGGACTCTGTGGTACCGTTTGTGTAGGCGAATCGGGTAAATCGCTGGGCGATATAATACCGCTCGGCAATCGACTGAAATCTGAAATAATCGAGCTTCGATCGTCGTGAATCGAGTGCGTCTCTTCGATGCTACCCAAAGACTCCAATGAACTAGATCTTGAGAACATCAAAGGAGTCTGCTCCGCGTAATCGTCTGCGAACGTTACGGCTTTAGTCGCTTCATGTGGTGACGGCAATTTAACATCTTTCTTTTCCTCCTCCTGAACTGCCTCAGTTCCCTCCTTGCCCGCGCTATTGAGAGAACCGCAGCTGCTGATCCGCGAGAAACACCCAGGAGTTCCCTCTTCGCAATAATTAATAGGTTTTTCTATTCTCAAATCCGACATCGACGTAGAGTTCGAGAAATTGAAGGGAGTTTCGTATGGTGTACCTTCAGTGCAGTAAGCCTTAACAGTATCAGCCACATACTCCTCCTTAGATAAATCATCAACATCAGAGTCGTCCTCCGCGTATCTCAAAGAGTAATTCGTTGGGAGATCTAAATCAGTTTCAGCATAAGTACCAGGCTTTTCATTCTCTTGATTAATGCTCATCCCAGCAAACCCAGTGCACAGATCTGAAGCAGAATCCCTCTTTGTCAATCGAATATACACAGCATCATCTTCAAGCTCAAATTCTTCACAAGACTTCTTGAAGTCCTGCTTGGAACTGCCAAAGACCCACTCAGAAGGTGCCTCTCCAGAACTGGAAGCAAAACTGCGTATGCTTTGTTGATCCTACAAATTAGTGTTGATTGCTTTACAAAATATATACATTTTTACAGTCACAAACCAAGTTAATTTCGGCATCTGCATTCCAATCAATTGGCCAAACACCATTATAATGATTATCAACAAGTGCATCATTTCTCAATAACTTGAATGACATTGATGGTGCTTCAGTCTCATTATCATTCACCTCTGCACTCACTGTTCCAGCAGTTGTGTCCTCTTCATCCTGGTGCTGTTGCATGTTGTCCAGCAACAGCAACTTCATTGTTTGCAAATAAACAATTGAATGCTACAGTAAAATAATACTGATACTCCATATTAAAAAAATCTCTCAATACTCGATTTTCAGCACTCACCTGAAAGGAGAGAATCAAAATGCACAGCACATTGAATCGCACCTGTCGCTAACACTTATTCATTAACACCGATCCCAAATATTTTTCATGGATAAACAACAATAACATGCAACTCCACCACCACCACCACCTTCTGTTGTTGTTCTGTCGAAAAGGGTTGAAAGCAGTACCAATCGCTCTGTCCAAAACACTAAAATAATTTACATGTAAATTTGGTTGCATATGTATATCTTCCATTCGGGTCCAAGGGGGGGTTCACGGGATACGGCAAAATTGTAATTTTTTTTTACGATAAATCAGTTGGTATGAGCGATGTACATAGGCCTGTTCGGGTCTGGTCTATATCGAAATCCCGACAACCGAAATCCCGTCAATCGAAATCCCGACGTTCGAAATCCCAACAACCATAATCCCGACCATGTCAAAATCCCGACTATATAAAAAATGTACTACATTTTTATGGGTCACGACAACTCGGCGTACTTTATTACATTTAGTTGACTTATCGGGATTTCGAACGTCTGGATTTCGATTTTCGGGATTTCGATTGCCACCGCTTCCATTAAACACCAATAAATTAAATTTAAATTTATTTGTAAATCTTTGTAGAGCCGTATTTACCCAATTTTATTTCCTACAAAAGTAAATGAATAATAGGTCCTTATTCATAATACACATATATTATTATTAATATTAATAATACCATAGAAGTTTTCATTCAAAATATATATTAAAAATACTTGCGTTTATTGATATTATTTAAGTGTTAAGTACATTTTCTATATTCCAATTTTAATAATGTTGTTAATTAATAAAGAAAAATAATTAATCAAAGAAGTAATACATGGAAACAATAATAATTAGGTTATTTAACAAATTAAAGTAATTAAATTGTAAGTGTATGTTTTTGCTTTTGAATTATCAGAACTATTACGTACATGCGAAGTAATAGTTCTGATAATTCTATTCCAGATTCGTTATTTTCATTAAAATCTTTGCTAAATTATATATAATTATTTTTCTTCTTGTCTGTACGTTAAATGCTTATTACACATTTAAAGTTGCAGATTCATTCTCAAAGCTAATTAATACTTCGCTGATGACTTAAACGTAATAGACAATTACTGTCGACGTAATAAACTGACGATTTCAAATTATATGATACCACCAAACTGGAAACTAGTTTAGCAAGGATTTAACTTTTCGGTGAGAGAAAATTTAGTCGTAGGAACGGTGTAAAAAGAAAGTTGTGCGTAAGAAACTTTCAGCTCTCCCAATTGGATTCCAGACATTTTTTTCCAAGCAATCTCACGCATTTTTCATCCAATATTTGATTTTTTTTCAATAAGAAATTTTGTCGTAACTTTTCGGTGGGCTTACGTAACTCGATTATTCGAACTGAATGGGTCGATCACCAAACAGCTTTTCCGCGAAGAAAATTTAGAAATTTTCTTGCAAGACGAAGAACTTGGACTTCTACTCGCTGCTTTATTAAATCTAGCTCAGAAGAACGTCTCATTGTATCTAAGTTAATTACGGTGGGACATGGCAAGAGAAGGCGGAGAGTGTTTTCCAAGCGAAAGGAGGCCGTGTCGAGTGGACACTCGAAACGTTTTCGTTGTTTTTCTTTTTTCCCCACTTGCTTTTCAATTTTTCTTTCCATCTCACAAGATGCTCCTTGCTAGAGACTTCGAGGCGTACACACGTCCACCGCTGAGGATGGAGGCCGTGATTACATCCGACTTCTTTTTATTTGCTTAATTCGCAATGGAGCCACGAGGTATTTGATTTGATCTGCTGACTGAGAGTGTAGAGATTAGGGTTCGCCTCTGTGCTAAGTCAAACGGAAGCAAATCCTTTTGTTTGCATCTTGTTACAATTTCTCTGCGTACTCTAATACACCGAGAAAGGCCCGAAACTACTTTGTATCATGAAACTAGCTTACATTCCATGAATCTCCGATAACCGGACTTTCTTCTAACTTCAAAGAATGGAGGAAAGCAAACGTTTACGATGAGATAATTCCGATCTGAAAGTAATCAGAGAATAAAGTGATTCTTCTTTAATCCTTTCACTCTAACAGATAAAAAGTATGAAACTTAATATAATGGTGCATATAGCTAGCCTAAGATATAAAGATAAGAGACCAAATACTAAATAAAACTATCCGTGACATAGATCGTATTTGTATGTCAGGTATACCATATTAAATATGACAGCAGGCCTAAGTATATAGTGGTAACTAGGAATATATTTAGGGTAAATTACAAAAAAATAAGCTCTCCTTGTATTAAATAATGGAATGTAAACGTTTGTCATTTGTACCATATTAAATATGTCATATATTGTCAATCTAAACAAATATTTACAAGCTTCATATAGCCACAGTAAATTTTGAAAAAAAATACATAAAATATTAACACGTTAAGGTTTGCACGGTTTGCTTGCTACAAGAAAATTTTTCTTGCACGCCTATGGACTGAGTGAAAAGTAAAAAGTCTTACGTCAATTACAAACTTAAACTTTTTTGAATATTTTCTAAACAGTTTATAACAATTGTGAAAAATATATCTCGCAATTTATTTTGTAAAGTATTCATAGATTATGTCACAATATCACATATTAGTTTAAATTGCTTCAAGAATTAATAAAATATGTATAACAAATATATTGGAGTATAAAATTTGTAATTGACTTAAGATATTTGAGGTTATACTCAGTCAAAATCAGTGGCGTGCATAACGACAAAGCTATTATGCATACTTTATGATCCACCGGTGGTTAAATATGTTAAAATAAAATAAATAAGCTGAACTTGTGTTGAATAACAGTAGATTATGCTTCATCCTCACTATACGTAACATAGAACGTAATCAGGTGTAACATATAAAATATGACAGCTGTCATATATTGGCAACGTAAAACTACGGCTACATGTAGTGTTATTTCCAAATTTGTGTTCGGACATGTTATTCAATAATACCTGAATTAAACATGGATATTAAAAGCAAAATCATTAAAAATCGAGACTAAGTTATAGTTTTTTTCCGACATGGAACGCATTTTACATTAATTTATATGAGGAAAATTGTTTCACTATACGAGTAAAAATCCGGAAATTTTGGAACGGATTATACTCGTTAAGCGAGGTTCCACTGTAGTAAGTTATGTTTTATCCTCATTGTTTGTAAAACAGCAATCATTAGAAATCATTTCAACAACAGTTTTTATAAAAAGAAACAAGATTGAGTGAATGGAAGAATGGAAAAATAAATTGGCATTGTAAATTACCAAACTCGAAAAGTTTATGAATTTCCACAATACCGAAGGAAAACTTTCCTTACGACTCCAATTAGACTCGTTTCTTAGTGGCAGCAAGTACTAATTACGCTTTAAAAACGTTACGTTTTTCTCTTGCGTTTCCCATTTTACATGCGCCTCACATTTATTTCATACATATATATTCCGCGAATACTTCGAGGGATTGCCCCATAATACGTTGAACATAGTGGTGTAAAAAGGGCCTTGCATTATGAAAGCAGCTCGTTGATAATTCAAACGGACTCCGGTTGGTGTTTTGGCATTAACCGAGTTATCCTCCTTCCGGTTTTCTTCATTCTTTACCATCAGGAAGGGTAGGATAGGATAGTGGATGGAGTAGTCGAGAGCGAGCTTCCTTTTAAACGGCGCGACACCTGCAAACTAGACTCGAGAGGTGCGCTACATTATTCAGGTCGTCGCTGCCGCCTACTGCGCGCGCTATGGGACTACCCCTAAATATTCCATATACCCACTTAAGTGAGAGAGAACCCGTCGCATTTCGCACACTTTACCGCGCGACGCTAAAACAATTTTCGTAGGACCGTAACAAAAAAAAAGCAAGACAAACCTCTTTTACCCTGTAGGCCCACAAAACAGTAATTACTTACCGCAAAACGAAAACGACCCTAATTGACATTGTTTGTACTGTGACTTCTTAATGCATAGCACTAAAGGCTGGCGCTTAGGGGTTCTCAAATATAGATATATGATAGGAGTGATCAGAGTGCACTCGCCGTGTTGACTTCACACCAAATTACTGCTAATAACTAATCAAAATACAGTGGAATCTCGCTTAACGAGCGACGTTTCTTATAACGAGTGACTATGAGAAGAGAAGTCCCAGATTGCGCGCCTGCTATATATCATTTTTAAAACTTGTCTACACATATTATATCTATTTTTGAATATGTTTCACTATACGAGTAAAAATACGAGAAATTTTCGAACGGATTAAAATTAATAATTTAACATTTCAATACAATAATAATAATAATAAATCCTTAGTTTTATGAAACAGAAAATCGGGAAGGAATTAACTTGACTGCAAAACCAAATGGAATAGTAACAGAAAGATGTGTATACTATTACAAAATGTGATCTTTAAACTCTGAATTATATCAGCGAATGAGCAGAATATTATAAAATTGTAGAGTTCCATAAAGTTGGAATACATTCATAAGCTAAGACTTTAGGAGGACAAGATGTGAATTTATTAAAATATGAAGGCATATTTGATTTATGTCACGTGATTTAGAAAAATTTGAATCTGAAATTTGTTCTAAGCTGTAATGATACGAATACAATAGAGAAAACAAATCTTTAATTATATCTTTTTGTCTGTGTTATACAAATCACTTAAATGAATAGTTTTTTTTTTGTCATATATAAATATATATTTTTTTAATTATGCGTTCGTCTCAAACGGCGATCCTCTTTGAAGGTGGAAAAGTAGAAACGAATGTTTGAGTCGGTTTGGGTGCGTGTGTGAGAGCGTTTGTGTGTTTGGTTTTCATTTAATTAACGCGAATTGACATTGGCTTTGGGCCACATCAAAACGGACCACGGACAACCGAGTTTAAACACACACACATCCATGCAGACACTCGCAAGCAAACAGTCGGAGAACGGATGCGGAGAGTATAACCTACTACAACCCCACACGTCGTTCCTTCTATTTACGGAAGCACTCTGAATTCATTTACCAACGTTCAAAGTTATTTATTCATATTTTTTTTTTCTCAAATCAAAATTGCTTAAACCCTTGAAAATTTTTCAGTCTAGTGGGTATCAAACAAAATATTAATTATCTGGGATTGACGTAAATATC